ACACTAAACTGACTGATTATATTCGATACATGAACAAAAATTTATTCATGTCAAAAATTTGAATGTATAAACAAAAACATTTCGGAAGAATATTTGTGATGAGCAAAACGTGAACTAGTGTCATCGAGATATTTTCCGAATGTGGCACACACAAAAATGCTAACCTTACAAGAATCGGCAATCTCTTATCGAAAATTCAATATCTACCATCATTGATTATGAATTCAATCAGAAATCAAAAAGATGGAATAAATGAAGAGTCAAAAGAACAACCTCGTTTTACCACTGCCTTTTTCCTGGAGTTCCGTCCTTTCGTGATCTTTTATAAACAAATCGAATTCTTTCGATCTAAATATGCAGCAAATCGACAATGAATTGAATACAAACAACATGCTCCAGTAATAATGTTCATACTAATCATAATAATAATAATAACAACTGCAACTAACACAAACAATAATAGTAACATCAATAATAATAATAATTCAATCTAACCTAGCGATAAACTTCTGTCGAATCCGCAAACGTTTCTTCTTTACCGTTGAACTATTCACCTTCTGATAATCGTTCTCATTCTGCACATCGTCATCCACATCGTCACATTTTATATCCACTTCTCCTATGCACGTTTCCAAATCCAACTTCTGAAATGATAATAACAACTGAAAGTGTTTCACGAGATACAAAACATACGCATTACAGAGGGCACTACAATGGGTTCAATGAGAAAATATTGAATAGATCAAATCTGCATCGAGTTTAAAAACTTAAATCAAACCTATTGGATAGTTCGGAAACTTACCAGATTCTCATGATTCACATCAGTTATTTGCATACTCTTCATCGATAAGTGCACATCACTGAGCATATGTGCCATTAGATTCAAATCGTTCTTTAACTGTAATTTCATTAATTCAACACTTCAAACTGATATCGAAAACACAACGGAATTTTTTTGAATTGAATGAAACTTAAAGTTATTTTTAAAGATCTGTAAACTTTCAATAAGTGATTCAGTCAGACTAAATGATCCTAGATCAGTAGAAGCTTTAAAAATTC